GTTACAAATTGAAAAACTCATGCACAGTTAGGCAACAGCATGTTAAAAAATATTTAGCCTTATTTCTAATAAAAGAAATGTAAGTTTAAGGATTTACTATATGCCCATGTTCTCCCTCCACGAAGTTTTCTGTTTGCTTGTTTTAACTGTCCTTCCTCCCTTCTTTCTTATAGGGTAGGGATAGCATCTGATGGTTCAGATGAGTCTTCCTGAAACATTACTAAGACATAGGGACAGATAAAGATGGCCAGTTCAGAGAAGTTAATATTGGCCCTGTCTTTATCTGCTCTCAAAGGGTTTTTGTTTACCAACTTTATTTAATCTATCAATACTTTGAACTGGACCATAGCTTCTGATTCTTCTCTGTGCACCTGCTCTGCCTCCCTAATGTTGGTTCATCAGTGAACATCTCTTTCTTAATGCTCTCTTCTCTTGGAAATTAATCTAGGATTTAAATGCTCCCTTGCTCATATATGCTATGTGGCTAATGAGAAAGTGGGCTTATAAAAGAGGGGTTTATACAGTTCCAACGGCTGACTTTTTTTTTATATACAATCAGAATATAATCGACATATAGCATTATATTCATTTCAGGTGTACAACATAATTAGATATTTGTATATATTGCAAAATGATCACAATAAATCTAGTTTAACATCCACCACCACACATAGCTACATAATTTTTGTGATAAGAACTTGCAAGATTTACTCTTTTAGCAACTTTCAAATACACAATACAGTATTATTAACTATAATCACCGTGCTGCACATTACATCCCCACGATTTATTCATTTTATAACTGGAAGTCTATACCTTTTGACCTCTTTCACACATTTTGTGCACTCTCCCTCCTATACCTCTGGCAACCACTGATCTGTTCTGTGTATCTACGAGCTCTTTTTTTTTTTTAAGGTTCCACGTATAAGTGAGATCATATGGTATGTATCTCACTTAGCATCATTGTTTCAAGGTCATCCATGTTGTTGAGAACATTTTTAATAAGATTTTTTAAAATTACAAAAACAATAACAGATTTGATGCAATCTCTATCAAAATATCAATGGCATTTTCCACAGAAATAAAATAATTCTACAATTTGTATGGAAACACAAAAGACCCTAAATAGCCAAAGCAATTTTTTTTTTTTTTTGCTGTACGTGGGCCTCACACTGTTGTGGCCTCTCCCGTTGCGGAGCACAGGCTCTGGACGCGCAGGCTCAGTGGCCATGGCTCACAGGCCTAGCCGCTCCGCGGCATGTGGGATCTTCCCGGACGGGGACATGAACCCGTGTCCCCTGCATCGGCAAGCGGACTCTCAACTACTGCACCACCAGGGAAGCCCGCCAAAGCAATTTTTGACAAAGAATAACAAAGCTGGACAAATCACACGCCCTGATTTCAAACTCTACTACAAAGCTACAGTAGTCAATACAGCATGGTACTGGAACAAAAACACACACAGAGATCAATGGAACTGAATAGAGAGCCCAGAAATGAACCCATATTTATATGGGCAATTAATCTATAACAAAGGAGGCAAGAATACACAATGGGGAAAAGACAGCCTCTTCAATAAATGATGTTGGGAAAACTGGATAGCTACATGCGAAAGAATTAAACTGGACCACTTTCACATACCATATACAAAAATAAATTCAAAATGGATTAAAAGTAACACCTAAAACCATGAAACTTCTAGAAGAAAACATAGGCAGTATGCTCTTTGACATAAGTCTTAGCAATATTTTTTGGATATGTCTCCTGAGACAATGAAAACAGAAGCAAAAATCAACAAATGGGACTACACTAAACAAAAAAGCTTTTGCACAGTGAAGGAAACCAACAGAACGAAAAGGGCCACCTACTGAATGGGACAAGATATTTGCAAATGATATATCCAAAAAGGGGTTAATATCCAAAATATACAAAGAACTCATACATCTCAATGCCAAAAAAAATAAACAACCAGATTAAAAACCTGCCAGAGGACCTAGATAGACATTTTTCCAAAGAAGACATACAGATGGCCAAGAGGCACATGAAAATATGCTCAACATCACTAATCATCAGGGAAATGCAAGTCAAAACCACAATGAAATTGCACCTCACACCTTTCAGAATGGCTATTATCAAAAGACAACAAATAAGTGTTGGTGAGGATGTGGAGAAAAGGGAACACTTGTGTACTGCTAATGAGAATATATACTGATGCAATATATATGGAATATAGTATGAAGGTTCCTCAAAAAATTAAAACTAGAACTACCATACAATCCAGCAATTCCACTTCTGGGTATTTATCTGAAGAAAATGAAAACACTAGTTAGGAAAGATATATGTACCCCTATGTTCACTGCAGCATTATTTACAATAGCAAGATATGGAAGCAATCTAAGTGCCCATCAATAGATAAGTGGATAAAGATGTGGTATATATATACAATGAAATACTACTTGGCCATAAAAAAGAATGAAATCTTGCCATTTGCAACAACATGGATGGACCTAGAGGGTATTATGCTAAGTGGAATAGAAAGACAAATACTATGTGATTTCACTTATGGGTGCAATCTAAAAACAAAATAAATGAACAAACATAACCAAACAGAAACAGAGTAACAGATACAGAGAACAAACAGGTGGCTTCCAGAAGGGAGGGGGTAGGGAGGAGGAGAGAAATAGGTGAGGGGGAAGAGGTATAAACTTCCAGTTGCAAAATAAATGAGTCATGGGTATGAAATGTACAGTGTAGGAAATAGTCAATAACTATGTAATATGTATGTGACAGATCATAAGTAGACTTATTGTGGTGATTGTAGGGAATACAGTCAGTAATTACATAAGATCTTTGCATGGTGACAGAAGACAACTAGACTTATCATGGAGATCATTTTGAAATATACAGAAATATAGAATCACTATGTTGTATATCAGGAGCTAACGTAGTGTAAGTAGGTCAATTATACTTCAGAAACAAATAAACAAACTCATAGGAAAATGTGATCAGATTTCTGGCTACCAGAGGCAGGAGGTTGGGGGAAAGGGAATTAGATGAAGGTAGTCAAAAGGTACAAACCTCCAGTTATAAGATAAGTAAGTACTAGGAATGTAACGTACAACATGATAAAGATAATTAACACTGCTATACATTATAAATGAAAGTTGCTAAGGGAGTAAAGCCTGAGAATTCTCATCACAAGGAAAACAGTTTTTTTCTGCTTCTTTAATGTTGTATCTATATGAGATGATAGATGTTCACTAAACCTACTTGATATTCATTTCATGATGTAAGTCAAATCATTCTGTTGTACACCTTAAAATTATATAGTTCTGTATGTCAATTATATTTCAGTAAAGCTGGAATAAACCAACAAAACAATATATGCTCACAACAGAAAAATTATCTCGATAATTGAGAAAATTACACAATGAGAATCTTGTGTATACTATACTACCCTTAACAGTCACCAGAGCAAGCAAAGCCGCAGTCTGAGAGAAAGGCTTTTATGCCATGAAGAAAAGAAACAAAATGAACACATTTATAAAGCTTCCCAAATTGTCCATCACAAATGACCAAGGCTTATGGTAGACCTGGTTTCTGGATTGATGATATGAATCTACTCATTTATTTTACTTAAGAGAAAAACAGAAAAAAGTGTCTGTCGTAAGATCAATAAGCCCAGAGTGAAAAACAGGTTTCCTCAAACAAATTCAGGATGATAAAGAATTTCATAAAATAAAACCCAGAAATTCCTTCTTGTATAGACCTTCAAAACACCAAAACTGACAACATGCGGTTTTTGTTTTTAAATATGAAGAAAATATGGGTGAAAGCCTTTAGAATAAAGGAATAGAGAAGATTTTTCTAAGAATGCCACAAAAATGTAAACACATAAAACATAACTCCATGTGACAACAACTCAACAGGCTGAAATACATAAACCCTGTGAGTATCCTTTGTAATAAAATTATAATAGCACCTTCCTGGGTTCTGCGAGTCATTCTAATGAATTATCAAACCTTAGAGGGGTTGGTTGTGGAAAACTCCCAAGACTGGTAGCCAGCTGGTAAGAGGTGCAGGTGGGCGGGGGGACACCCCCTCCCCAGACTTGCAGCTAGAGTCCGCAGTAGGGGAAGTCTTGTGGAGGATGGGTGTCCTTAACCTGAGGGTCTGTACTAACTTCAGGGAGTTAGTGTCAAGACTGTACTGTAGCACACCCAGCTTATGTCACCAGCTGGGTTGACAAAGAATAGTAACCATGCTAAGTAATAGTATAATACTATTCTCTATAACTGACACTCCTGAGAGGAAAGCAAACATCATAATATGGTAAACGACCAATAGCTTTGTTGATAGGTCTGTGATTTTTCTACTATAAACAATAAAGGGCAAGAAATGTTTATCCTTCTTGAGTATCCAAATGCCTCCTTATCTGTGCCATTCATGCAGCTCTCCCAAGCTACAGTCCCACACACTGTGTACCTCTATTAAAGCACTCATTACTATGTGCTGCATTTGTCTATGCCTCTCTCTCATATGCTAGACTGTGAATTCCAAAGCAGGGACTACATCTTATTCACCTTTGTATTCTCAGAGCCTACCACAGTGCCTAGACAGTGGCAGATGTGCCGTAAGTTTGGTGAATGAACGAATCAGTCATCAAATAGCTCTGTCCATAAAAAATCACTTCTGTAAAGGAACGTGCTTGAATGGGTGCTTTGGCTTGAAACTTCATAGTAATTTTGGCCTCTTCCCTCTCTTTATTCAACTAAATACTGTGTCTTATAGATCAAAGAGATAAGTGACCTCTGCAGGTAAATAGTAAATAAAAATACGGATTCCTTCATATAAAATAAGAAAAAAAAGGATGGTGTCAAATATTCTTTTTCTCTTCTTTTAAATCTTTGTGGTTTGTGGTTAGAAATCCGGTTTGAAGGACTAACTCTTCTCCTTAGTCAAAATACTATTATCCTTCTTATAACAACTGATTCACTCACCTTTTAATCTAGCATCGCCCCCAAAGGCACCACAGCCCCAGTTTCCTGTGGCCACTGCAGAAAGATTCTCTGAAGAAACTCCAGGACGAAGAAATCCACAGTAAGCCTGCAGGATGAAAGAAATATCAAAGCACGTGAATGACTAGACGCTAACGGTGTTTCTGACTGATGTACTAGGATCAGTATCCATTATCAAGCTTATGTTATCTCTCTCTTTTCTTCCTAGGGGCCAAAGTACAGGGGAAAAAGAGAAAATCCTGGGATTACACAAGGAAGAGAGTAAGAAATGATCAGTTCTATTATTTATTTGCTTTGATGCTGGGCAAATCAAAGCCCTTAAACCATTACAGGTCTCAGTTTCTTTTTCCAGTTCAAACAAATATAAAGGAAAATATCAGAGATATTTTAAGAACTAATGGAATCCCAATCACAAACCACAAGGGATTAAAGGACAAAAAGGCATTTAAGACACTTTTATTTGAAAACTTTTGATTACCATCTTTTTCATTAAGGTAAAGAGTTGCTACTGTTATGCTTCCTCACCACTCTCTCTCTCTGAATTATTGGGACTTAGATTAATAACTGTGATTAGCTTTTAAATGTGCTTCCTGCCACTGAAATGCTTAAACAACTATAAATAAAATGAGCAAGTAACTATATATAAAAAGGATTCCTATACCTGGTTACAAGATAACCTTTAATATCCCTTCCAGCTCCAAGATTCTCTAGTTTCATAGCTCTGTTTTAAGCTAGAATATTTTAAAATTTGCCAGTAACCTGAGAAAAGTACAATATATCCTGAGGGTGCTGTCTAAATGAACAGCTCATTTTGTATATGAGAAGACTGCAGTTTAAGGTCCCAGAGTTTCTGATTTCTATTTCTTTGCTGTCAGACAAGTTGGTCTTTCTGCCTCCAAAGGGTTCTTAGTTTTCTGAAACTATCAGACTATATTAAGAGGTTTAAAATAATAGCAAAGCAATTCTCCCCTGGGCTTTCTCAAGTACCAAACCCTAAAATATAGCTTATGTATAACAGTAAATAAAATAGAAAGAATGATGTGTGACAGATGTTCCCAGAGAAAAACCAAGGATAAAGAAAGATGCTTCTATGAAACCCACACATAGAAATACTGTAAATTGCTCTCTGAAGTTGCTACAAGGGTATAAAAATGTATTTTATACCTGCCTGGGTGGATTAACAAGGCTATTCCTTCCACCCCCTCCTAGGCTGTAAATCCTGACATATTAATTATAAGTTGGTACCAGACCATTACTCAACACTGTGGTACAGAGCTTACACTAGAACTCACAAATTACCTGTATAATCAGATGCATGGAGCATCTGAAAATCTCTTTCAGGTCAAAACTATCAAAGAGCTCAATTTTTTTGAGTAGGTTCTTGAAAGATACAGTCTCTGCCTTTATGCCAACAAGGGGGTGAACAGACTTTCTGTCAGAATAGACATAACTTTGCCACTTGCTTTCCTGTCAAATTCTCCAAATATGCCTAGAAGAAGAGGAAGATTTCTTAGCCTCCTAGTTTGTGTCGTCTCTGTTTTATACCATCAGAATGGTTTTAGTTTCTTTCACACTGCTATCTCTATATATCTGGGCTAACTTTTCTTTAATGAGCAAAAATAGCTTAGTAAGACTAAGGCCTAACAACAGAGAATTTGAAATATTTAGATTATTAGAAGCAAAATCTAACCAATTTTACTTTAAAAAAAAAACTATCTTGAAAAATGACTGTAACAAAAAAACCCTATAAAAACTGAAATTAACCTGCATTTGGTGTTCTGATTAAGTAAAATAAAATGAAACTTTAAAAATGTAATCAGATAGAAATTAAATGATATAAAATACTTACACAGTAATTAGGTATAAAGAATAACTGTGATGATTAAATACAAGATTCTTTTTTTTATTGAAGTATAATTGATTTACAATATTAGTTTCAGGTGTACAGAGTGATTCAGTATTTTTACAGAATATACTCAATTAAAAGTTATTACAAGATAATGGCTGTAACTCCCTGTGCTATACAATATATCCTTGACGCTTACCTATTTTATACATAGTAGTTTGTATCTCTTAATCCCATACCCCTAATATGCCCCTCCCCGCCTTCCCTCTCCCCTTTGGTAACCACTAGTTTGTTTTCTATATCTGTGAGACTGTTTCTGTTTTACATATACATTCATTTGTATTATTTTTTAGATTCCACATGTGAGTGATATATAGTATTTGTCTTTCTCTAACTTATTTCACCAAGCATAATATTCTCTAGGTCCATCCACTTTGCTGTAAAAGGCAGAATTTCATTCTTTTTTATGGCTGAGAAATATTTCATTGTATACATATCCATTTGTCTGTTGATGGGCAGGGCACTTGGGTTGCTTCCATATCTTGGCTACTGTTACAAAATTTTTATTCTGTTTGAACCAACCATTTCTCTGTGATGGCCTAGTGGCGTGGGATGGGGGGGCGGAGGGAGGGAGGACATTATATAATGTAAATACATTATACTGTTCGCTAAATTAATAATTTAACAATTTTTGTCCTGAAGAGTTGTTCATGACTTCCCTGGTGGCACAGTGGTTAAGAATCCACCTGCCAATGCAGGGGACATGGGTTCGAGCCCTGGTCTGGGAAGATCCCACATGCTGCGGAGCAACTAAGCCCGTGCACAGCTACTGAGCCTGTGCTCTAGAGTCTGCGAGCTACAACTACTGAGACATGTGTCAAAACAACTGAAGCCCGCGTGCCTAGAGCCCATGCTCCACAACAAGAGAAGCCACCACAATAAGAAGCCCACACACTGCAACGAAGAGTAGCCCCTGGTCTCTGCAACTACAGAAAGCCTGCGCGCAGCAACAAAGACCCAACGCAGCCAAAAATAAAATTAATTTTAAAAAAAGAGTTGTTTATATGAAATCAATCTACTGTACTCGTCTAACTTAAACTAATACATAGTTGGTATTGATAATGATTTTCTGATGTTTTAGAACACTGTGATTTCTTAAAAACAAACATAACATAAAAAGTTCCTTAAGAATCTTTTGGAAGAGAATAAAATAATATTAAGAGTCTTAAAATTATACTTAGATTCAGTAACAGTAATTTTATAAATTTCTTTTGTAAATTTCTTTTATTTGATTAAATAATAACTGTACAAAGATGTTTACTACATTATAGATAATAGAGAAAAACTTGGGACCACCTATTAGTTCAAAAACAGTAGCTAAGTCCTAGTATATCAATCCAACCAATTTTGTGGCTATTACACATATTATTATGGGGATTTCCCTGTCAGGCCAATGGTTAAGACTCTGTGCTTCCCCTGCAAGGGGCACTGGTTCAATCCCTGGTCAGGGAACTAAGATCCCTCATGCCATGTGGTACAGCCAAAAATAGGTAGATAGATATATAGATTAAAAAAGATCAAATTTATTTAAAAAAACATCATGAAGATCATTAGAAAGTATGAAAAATACAATTTATGGATAAATTAAATAGATAAATACAATATTATAGGTAACTTTTGCACACATTTATACGAAAATTAGTATTCATGTGGAAAGACCTACAAAAATGAAAACAATTATTTGAAAGGTAAAATTATAGATGATTTTTTATCTTTAAAATAATTGTAACATTAGTAAATTGATTTTGTCTTTTTAAGATGCAATATAGGGACCTCCCTGGTGGCACAGTGGTTAAGAATCCGCCTGCTAATTCAGGGGGACACGGGTTCGAACCCTGGTCCGGGAAGACCCCACATGCCACAGGGCAACTAAGCCCACGCACCACAGCTACTGAGCCTGTGCTCTAGAGCCCACGAGCCACAACTACTGAAGCCCATGCACTGCAACAAAGAGTAGCCCCCGCTCGCCACAACTATAGAAAAGCCCGCATGCAGCAACAAAGACCCAACGCAGCCAAAGATAAATTTTAAAAAATAAGTATAAATAAATAAATAAAATTTTTTAAAGATGCAATATAAAATGAAAACACCATGTAGACCTTAGATTTCTCATATGTGAAATCAAAGATTAGATTAGGTTTCTCTATGGTTATCCTGATTCTATACATTGAGAAACTTAAGCGAAAACTCATTAAAAATGATACATTTTGAACTAATATTCCTGAAAAGTAACACAGACTTCAAGAAAAGATTATAAATGATCAAATGTTGAGCTTCTTAGAAATATCAGCAGCAAGTATTGATCAGTTGTGTTAATCAAGCTCTGATTTAAGAACAATCCCCTTCCAAATTTGGTGATAACAACAAAAAAAATCTGACTTGAATGGAATAAAACTTCCATTGCCAGGTTATTTAAAGACTCAGTCTTTTTCTATAAAGTATGTCTCATAAGGACTCTATATTGTACAAATAAATGTTTTTCAGTGTTGGTAATACTTACAACTAACTTAACCTATTCACATATACCAAGGCTTCACATCTTTAAAATTTCTGGTGTCTTTGAGGATGGGAAACTGAAGGTTAGTGCTATCCAAGTAAATGTAGAGAGTATCAGCCGTGGGCAATTTAAAAAGAGAAGATTTACTTATGTCCAGTGTTATCTTTTAAAAAGATCATATTTATAGATGATTTCTAAAAGTGAATGATCTAGCTCCTCCAGAAAAGTATTTGTGGGAATATAAATGTTATCATGAAAAAAAGGGAACCTTTAAGACTTCCCTAGTGGCACAGTGGTTAAGAATCTGCCTGCCAATGCAGGCGACACGGGTTCGAGCCCTGGTCCGGGAAGATCCCACATGCTGCAGAGCAACTAAGCTCGTGCGCCACAACTACTGAGCCTGCAAGCCACAACTACTGAGCCTGCGCTCTAGAGCCTGCAAGCCACAACTACTGAGCCCACGTGCCGTAACTACTGAAGCCCATGCTCTGCAACAAGAGAAGCCACTGCAATGAGAAGCCCACGCACCGCAACAAAGAGTAGCCCCTGCTTGCTGCAACTAGAGATAGCCCATGTGCAGCAACAAAGACCCAACGCAGCCGAAAATAAATAAATAAATAAATAATTTAAAATGTTAAAGAAAAAGGGAGCCTTTAAATGTGTGTTAATGTATGATAATGGTTAAATACATTTACTTTTCATATGCTTCTCTTCAAACTTTTCATGTATTTCTCTGCCATAACAAAATACCATGGACTGAGTGACTTAAATAACAGACATTAATTTTCTCACAGTTTTGGAGACTAGAAGTTCAAGATCAAGGTGTCAGCATGTTTGATTTCATTTGAGACCTCTCTCCTTGGCTTGCAGATGGTCACTTTCATGCTGTGCCCTCACATGATCTTTATTCTGTGGGTATGCACCCCTGATTTTTTTTTGTATGCCCTAATCTCCTCTTCTTATTAGGATACTAGTTAGATTGGATTAGGGCACTCCCTGGTATCATTTTAACTTAATCACATCTCTATACATTCTGACCTACTGGGGTAAGGGCTTCAACATATGAATTGTGGGCGGGCCGGGGGGACCCATACCTACTGCTTATATAAATGTCTTCTAGTATCAATGACCATGTGACAAATTCACATACACATCTGATGAAAAGCTAAATATAAATCTTATTCTACTTGATATGCTATGTAATAAAATCATCATGTGCTTGGAGACAACTGCTTTAAGGCAAGAGTTTAGAACAGTGAAAGCAAGCTCACAATTAAAAGGTACCTAATATAATAAAAGATATTCCTCAGTAATATCAGGTAAAAGAGAAATTATATCTGTTGATATATCAAAGATTAGTCTTTTTGGATAGCTTTTATGAGAAATTACTTAAAAGAAAAATGGAATCTGTGTGTAAGTTGAACTTTGGAAAATAGTGCGTTTTCAAACTTTTATGAGATTCCTTTGAGAACTTCAAACATTAAAATAACCTAATAAATTATATATTAAAAAACATGTTTAAAAGTAAATTAGATTCTTGAGTACATTAGAATATGATAATAAATGTAATTATATTTGAAATATCTACTAAGTTTTAAGTGTACTAAAGTCTTTCTGGATTATTTGGTTATTTTACTAACAATATGAGAGGCAAGGCGGTTGAGCTGGGATAAGCAGAGCACCACAGAGAGGCCATTCCTGTGGTAAGACCCAGGGAAAAGATGTGAAGATGATATACTGAACACCACACATGCCAATCCAAGGGCAGTCCCAGTCTGCCTGCAATGGTACACCTAGTCTGTTATTCCCAGAAGTCTGTGTAGGGATTGGCACATGGGTAGTCATGCAAAACCACAACCTCATTATCTTAATAATGCATTTCATGACCAAATCCTACTCATGGAAGTTAAACCATGGTTTTCAGAACTGGGTCAGTCTTCTTGGCTGTGAGAGTAATTTGAGGAACTAAAGAAGACATCAACTGCTTTGATAAGGCCCTATCTATCTAGAGAATAGACTTAGAACACTACTCTATGACAGTTTATTTACTATGGTTAACAGTAGTAAAAATTTAAACTAACAATAGGTCTGGCTCATTTTTATATTTCTGTAACACAATGAAAAAAAAAAGAAAATGACTATAGGAGACAAAACTAAGTAGCACAGAAAACCAACCACAGATTCCATCATAAATATGTCATATTACCAAATAAATAATTTACATGTCAGTCTTACCTATACTAGAACAATACTTGACTTTCACGGTTTATCTGTTTTAATCCTGACAAGCACACCTTGTAGAGAAAAATGTCATTGGGCAGGTGTGATAAAAACTTTCAGGGTTCATTCATTTCTATATGGTTTTACAATGATAATGTTCCAAAGCAACTAAATGTACTTGATGAGATAAATGCATGTGTGGGGCTTAATATCAAGCAACAGTCTATCTGGCATCAGTAATCAAACAATTACGAAATGGAAAGTACATCCTGTACAAGCTGACAGACACATTAAATCAGGAGAGCTGTGGGCAGACGTACTGACACTGCAAGAATTACCAGAAAGCATTAATTTCGGCATTAATAAAATGGCAGTAAATAGATGACAGCTGCCAGATGAACTAAGAAATAAGTTTACTGGCCTTGTTAAGCTCGCGTCTGATTTTCTCAGGCACAAACTGGTCGAGGTAGCGTCTGAAGTGAAGGGCATCGATGGCGACGATTTCAGTGCCACGCCGCTGCCAGTCGTCCCTGGGGCAGGACAGATGGGGGAAAATGAGGAATAGGGAAAGGTACTCACAAAATAAAACCCTCACAAGGGTCAGGTTTCTGAGACTTTGGCAGGGTTAATACGTTACAAACAAACCAATGGGTATATATCTCAGCAAATCAGGAGGGTAGAAAAACACCATTTTATTTTTAAGTTCCAAGGGATACATGTCGTGGACTGCCAGGCATTAAACAGTAAAATGAAAAAATAGTACATATTATAAACAGACACATCATTAACAATGAGTCTTCAAGGTTAAAAGATTTGGGGGGCAAACGAAAAGAATTTAGTTTTTTGTTTTCCTCCAGTACTAAAGACATGGCATTTGTATCTTAACAAGAGCTCATTCCTCCTTTGTTCTGAAAGAACTGCTCTAAGTATTGAGTTTGTAACATCACCATTTATTGTCCAAGAACGAATCCCAAGAAGTCAAGTTCTGTAAAAAATGTGTAATAATTCAGCACAAAATTCTACCTACTGTGCTCAGTTGCTGACCGGGCAAAACTATTTTTAAAAAGGCAAAGAAATCAAAGCAGACGATAACAATTTGCCCAAGGAGACAGGAAAAACTGGCTGAGATGGTGATTCTGGAAATGTGAAATTCCAAATATTTCATCTCTTTATAAACATGCATATATTGATATGGCAGTCAACTTTTCACACTGAAGAATACCCACAGAAACCTTCATGTTAGTCTGTAAATAATTATCAGGAATTAAACATTCACAAAGATAATTGTTGCAACCACATATTTTAACCAAAACAAAGGGAAAGA